TGGTGAAGCCCACTGACTGAATTTGATTGGCTTCCAAATCCCTAAATCAGTTAGTCGTTTAGCCTCTTCTTCAAATAACTTATGAAGTGCATACGGAATTGGTCTCGGCTTGAAAAATTTGGGCCTAGCTTCCGGCTTCATATAAATGTGAGCTTTCATATTATTATAACAACCTAACTTTTCAGTAAAAAGTAATTTGAACTCTTCACAGAGCAGTTGTATTTGCGGATTGTCTACAATGCGAAAAATTTGCACCGCTTTATATTCATCGTACCAGTTCAATCCAAATATATTACCACATTTGGTAGAATTTGCAACTATTAATTCGAGATTCTTTACTTCATTACTTATTTCTAAAGTGATCAACATTTTGTTTGATGATCTAGTTATGACGTTATCGATTGTATTGCAATTGCCAAATTCAACGCTTTCTTCCTCAATAAATTTGATTTGAGCCTTAGAACCAGACTTACATACCGTGGAAATGTGGCCAATCCGCTTGCATTTGTGACATCGCACTTTTCTGTACTTACAATTGATTTTCTCGTGCTTCTTAAAACATCCTGGACAAGATGGGAACTCATATTTCTTCTGACTTACTGGAATCTGCGATTTCGGTTTCTCTAAATGCTGATCGTGTCGTTTCCGGTACTTTACTGCATACACTTCCGCCTCATCAGACTTAGTTTTAATACTTTTAATAGTGCTTTGAGTTGCTTCATACGTGTCAGCTATCTGTAGAACTTTCTTTAGTGTTGGCTCAACCTTATGTAACGCTGCTGTACGGACCGGCTCATCAGGAGCATATAAAACAATTATGTCACGAATTAGTTCATCGACAAATTCCTTATTGCAATTTTCATTTTTACATACGAAATTGCATTCTCTAGCCATACCTTTTAATTCAGCTACCCACTTATTATAAGATTCTGTATCCATTTTTTTCCTCTTATAAAAATCATACCGAGCTTTGATTATGTGCGTTTTTGACCTGAAGTGATCCTCCAATTTGCTGACCAGCTCTTCAAACGATAATAGTTGAATGCTGTGCTTCCCAACTAGCTTCTGAATTAGACGAAACGTTGTATCACCAACCCAAGCCAGGAAAAAGGACTTCTTTCGCTCGATGTCATCAATTGAATATGCCTTAAAATGTGCCTCTTGTATGCATCGAATTCGTGCTTATCCTCCTCGAAAGGATGAAACTTGGGGACTGATGTTGGAACCGCTGTTACGCTTACAGGAGAACTCTCACCCCGCTGGTTTAAGATTTGCGTAAAAAAAAGTTGCTGTTGCGCAAAAATTGTTTGCGTGAATTCTTGTTGCTTTTGCAGGATCTCCGCAATAGCTGCTTCCATTTTTCAAATGGTTTTTTTTTAATCCTCGTCGCCAAATGAAACGTTTAAAGTAAAGTTTATTTCCAGACTGAATATCAAACAATATAGAAAATTTTTAAGACAATCATTTTCTCCAAAGTTAGCAAGATCAACTGAAGATCAACATGTAATTTTTAACAAAGTAAAAACATATCAGGTACTGAGTGACGTTTGAGTTCCAGCCGAAAGTCGCGAAGATTAACTGTTGCTTGCTGCTCCGACAAGAAGTCTAGACCCAATATCGCGGGCGTATGTGCATCAACTACTAAAAAAGTGTGGCGAAAGTTGATTTTTCCCAGCACAAATTCCAATTCGACTTTGCCTTTAGAAAAAAACTCTACATCACCTGCTGCACGAAGTCGGCAACACATTGGCTGAACTTCGCTCTCCTGAGGGACGATATGCGATGGTTAAAGGGAGACAGCCGCACCAGTGTCGACAATAAAAGAAGTTTGCAAACTATTTATCGCGGCATGAACAGCGAGACCATCATTAATTATTTTAATGCAATGTGTTGATGCATGTTGTTTTCGCATTAGTGTAGTCGAGCCGTTCTTCTGTGTACCAGCTGACGGAGGTATTTTTTTATTGATCATTTTAGGGGGGCTATTAGTTTTCGTTTCGTCGACTTTCGCTCCTCATAGTCGACGAGTTTGCGTTTTCCGGCCGATCGCTGAAATTTCGTAAATAATTGCGAGAACCTTGATTGACAGCGAATATTGGTCGAGTTCGGCTGGATTCCGGTCGGGATGAAAGCTCTTGCGCTGCTACCAGAGCAGCTTTAATAGTCTGTTGTTGACCAGCAACCACTAAGCGCATTACATCTGGATCTCGAAGTCCATCTATGAATTGGATTTTGAGGGCTTCAGTGACAAAAGATGGTGGGGAGTTTGGAAAAGCAGCTGCAGCTAGTAGTTCCAAAGCAGTTGCAAACTCCGTTAAGCCTTCTTTAGGACCGTGAATACGCCGCTTAAATTCTTGGTGGCTAACCTGTGCCGTCACCGTGAATTTGTCCGTAAAAAGTTTATTAAGCTGCTCCCACGATGGAGGTGGTGTTATCGGAAGTGTACTTATTAGCCTAAACGCTTCTCGTAAATTCGTGATAACCGCCATAACCTTTTCAGCTGAACTCCAACCATAAAAATTCGCTGTATGCTCAACTAAACACGAGTAGTCGACCCACGACGTTTTTCCATCGTAAGGCGTTATGTCATATTGACAAAAAGCACGACGTGAAAGATGTGAATAATTATTTGCTTGCGTTGAAATATTAAGTTCATTTAGCCTGTGCTGTTGTTGTTCAGTCGGAGCACAGCCGCGCGTTCGACCTGAGTTCTCCCGGTCTGAAGGTATGCGTGTATAGCACATAACGGAGTCCGAAACCATGGCAGCTGCTATGGGAGAGGTAAACACTGAAGTCAAGCGTACATCAGCACAATTGGTTGATGAAGTAAATGATTCTGGCGCTGATTGCCCGTAATTTTGCATTGGCTCTGCTGAAGAAGAAGATTGTTCCAAAAGAAAAGCGAATGACAGTAGACTGCAGCGTTGAAAATCTCGCTTCGAAGCCTTGGTAAGCGATTTGAACTCACTCCTCAACTCTCGTAATTCGCGTTGCTGTTCAGACTGCTGTGTTTGCAGAACTGTAGTTAAATGAGTGCTCATCAATTCGGTGAACCCGGAGAACTGCTTCTGTAACTCCTTTTGTATTTGCTGTTGGAGTTGGTTAAACTCCTTTGATTTATTTGGCATGGCGAGACTAGAACTCTAGTCTGCTCGAATAGGTGATATTTTATCACCCCACACCTGACACCAGTGTAGCGAAAATTCTACACTGGTTTGGTTCCCGAGAGGAATTTGTTTTCGGCGAGCCTAATTAAAATAAAAGGCGGTGTGGCTGACAGCTAAACTGCAACTAAACTCATTTTATTTGCGAACATTGCTTATAAAGAAAACATAAAACAAATAATATCCCGCTACTTCCGCACAAAGTTCTGCTGTTGCTTAATCATACGACAAAACCGTTGCGAGCCTTCCAGTCTCTCAGCAGCTGCTATTGTTGAGATTGAAATACATGGGCGTATCAACAACACTTTCAAGTAGGGGATTAGTGGGGTGATCGAAGTTTCATAACAATACAATAGGATAGTAGAATAAAATAAAAAAACAACACAATGGAAAAGAATGTCCAGCAAAGAGATATATTTCTTAAAAAGTAAAAAGAGCCAAAATAATCTAAGTAAAGAGAAAGTAAAAAGAGCCGCACTTTGCTAAGCAAGAGCCGGATTTGGCTCAAAGAGCCGCGATTGCCCACCGTTGCTATATGGTTACAAGAATGATATAATACAAGATTCCGCATTCCCGGCGTCGATGAAATTTCTCAAGTAAAAGAAACAAAGCCCAATGGGAGGATAGAATATACTGTAAAATAGTAAATTTTCTCAATAATAAATTTTTCGACAGGAAACGTGGTTTCATTATGTTAAATTTTAAAATATATGATTTATAAAAAGAATTAATGGCGAAAATTAAAAAAACGGCGATTTTTTTGAAAGTATTAGCAAATTTAAGTGTATCTAAAGCATCTGAGACGTTGTTTACATTTACTTGAGAATTGTCAAATTCGGCAAATCCCACGTAGCGGTTTCTGTAACGTGCCACATTTGTTCGCTACATCGTGATGTGATAAAATGAAATGCTGGCAGCACTCCGCAAGGTTGCAAAAAAATTTATGTTCGAAAAATATTTTGATATGGAAGGAACCGCTTTACACTGTCAAGGAAAAAAATTGCCAAACTCAATGCAATTATTAGCAACTTCAATCTTGGACTTTGTTATACTAAAATTAATTTTTTTTAAGTCTAATTAAAAAGTTTGCAATTTAGGTGAAACCTTACAGAATTTCTTGACTTTTTTTTACAAAGTTTGTACCAAAACCTGATATCTACCACATTTTTTTGAAATCTACCACATTTTTTCCAGATTCTACCACACAGAATTTTTCTAAGTCCGATCACTGGTTTCTGGTACAGAAGGGCTGGTAAATATTGAAAATGCCATTTTAAAATTTTATCCTTGAAATTTCGCAGTATTTGTTTTTGAAAAAATTATATGTTAAGGGCTTATATAAACTCGATAACATCCTCGAATTTCGTTCTTCAAACTTTGTCAGCTTAAAAATTACCTATTCGTTCTTGTGAATCCAAAAAATTTAAATTCCTATTGCATTTGTTACCCATATTTTTATTCTACATTGCGTTGAATTTTTTTAATAATTTTTGGAATTAATCATATCTTTGAAATTACAAAGTCCTTCGAAATAAATCCTGCGGTCGGAGAGAAAAAATAAAAACGCCACTTTAAATAAAAAAGTAGGTTTAAAACCCATTTATTTATTATTTATTTCATGGTAGGAGAGCTTTTCAAACAATATAGAAGCATTTTTTTCGATTCAAGTTGTTGAAAAGTAATGGATATCTAAATCCCGGGACTAATCCCGGGATCCCGGGATTGTGACAACGCCATCCCAAAAATCCCGGGATCGGAAAATTCCGAAAAATTAACATCCCTAATACTCATATATGTAGCTTATTAAAATATGTATTTATGTATTTATTAAAATAATTCAAATTTATAGGTAAAAGTAAAGAGGCCGAAGTGAAGCGCATTAATAAGGAACTCGCCAACATTCGCAGTAAGTTCAAAGGCGATAAAACACTCGATGGCTATCAAAAGAAGAAATATGTGTGCAAGCTGTTGTTTATTTTTCTACTGGGGCACGACATCGACTTTGGGCACATGGAGGCGGTCAATTTACTCTCTTCGAACAAATATTCTGAAAAACAAATTGTATGTTGCATGTCAGCGTCTACGTACTGTACTTTAGCTCAACAAAAAAATAAGAAAAATAGTGCCAGAACCCAGACCAGACTTACATAAGAAGAGAATAGTCTGATCCTCAAACCGAGACATTTTTGTTGTGTGGTTGTATAACAGCTGTGCACAGCCACACAAAAAAATAAGAAAAACAAGTAAGAAAGTCTAAGTTCGGGCGGAAAGCTACCGCTAGATAGTAAGGCGGGTTGTATCAATTTTGAGTAAATTAGCGTCCTTAAATTTCGAAATATTCCAGTTTCAAGCATTTCTGAAATTTACTGTTATATGAAAAGCGGCCGTAATTTTAGTCCGATTTCAATAATTTTCAACGTTTTGCTTTTATGTTTAAGGACAATAAAAATACCGAGTTTGGTGCAGATTGGTATAACGGTTACCGATATACATATATGTGATCATAAGTGGGCGGTGCCACGCCCATTTTCCAAAATTTTACCATAAACGTATTTCAATTTTGAGTGAATTATCTTCAGTAGCTACTAAAATATCGCAGTTTTCGTATTTCTGGAAATTACCGTTATATGGGAAGTGGGCGTGGTTACTGTTCGATTTCGCCCATTTTCATTACCAACCTACCTTGGATTAACGGAAACCTACATACCAAATTTCGTTGAGATATCTCATTTTTTGCTCGAGTTATCGTGTACACGGACGAACGGACAGACGGACAGACAGACATGGCTTAATCGACTTCTCTATTCATTCTGAGCATTTATGTATACATTTGTCTAAATCTATCTCGATTCGTTTTGGCTGTTACAAACAACCGTTATGTGAACAAAATTAATATACCCTTGTGCACAAGTGCGCTCGGGTATAAAAATGTCGTGACTGGGGTATCATACTTTCCTTTCCTTATATGTATATTTTGATGCGCTGAACACGAATTTGAAGTCTGTTTCGCTCCATCACTTCAGTATTTTTCCTAACCTCAATGTGCCTGGTGCATAATATCCGCCTTGTTTTTTTTGGGTTAGGAAAAAATCCTGAAGTAATTGAGAAAAACGGATTTGGATTCAGTGACTCCCAAAACGTATAGTAAGTCTGGTCTGGGTTCTGGCACTATTTTTCGATTTTTTTTGTGGAGCTGTGTTATAATTCCCACAATTTACGTATCAAAAATGAAAATATTTAATTCCATTCAACATGTTTAGGGTTATCTATTCATTTCGGTTTTGGTAAACACTAATAGCGATTTGATACGCTTGATTATACAGTCAATCAAAAATGACTTGCAATCGCGCAATCCTGTACATGTGAACTTGGCTTTGCAGTGTATCGCTAATATTGGCAGCCGGGATATGGCGGAGTCTTTCTCGAATGAGATACCAAAATTATTGGTATCGGGGTAAGCTACTTGCTCTTTAGTGTGACTTATAATTCTTAATTTAAATTTATTTGCTCGGGTTTCAGTGATACAATGGATGTTGTTAAGCAATCAGCTGCACTTTGTCTTCTTCGTCTGTTCCGTTCCAGTCCTGACATAATACCAGGAGGAGAATGGACTTCCCGTATTATACATTTGCTCAACGATCAGCACATGGGTGTGGTAACTGCTGCTACTTCATTAATTGATGCGCTTGTTAAGCGCAATCCAGAGGAGTACAAGGGTTGTGTTAATCTGGCCGTGTCTCGTCTCTCACGCATTGTCACTGCCAGCTACACGGATTTGCAGGATTACACATACTATTTTGTCCCAGCGCCGTGGTTGTCTGTGAAACTTCTGCGCTTGCTGCAGAACTATAATCCAGTAACAGAAGAGCCGGGAGTGCGTGCGCGGTTAAATGAAACACTCGAAACTATTCTGAATAAGGCGCAAGAGCCACCGAAGAGTAAAAAGGTCCAACATTCAAATGCCAAGAATGCAGTTTTGTTCGAGGCTATCAATTTAATCATTCATAGCGACAGTGAGCCAAATTTGTTGGTGCGTGCTTGCAATCAACTTGGACAATTTTTGAGTAATCGTGAGACAAATTTACGTTATTTGGCTTTGGAGTCAATGTGCCATTTGGCCACATCGGAGTTCTCACATGAAGAGGTGAAAAAGCATCAGGAAGTTGTCATCTTGTCTATGAAGGTTGGTGATGAGTCAATTGGCGTACATGTGTAGTTCGCGTACTTTTTTCCCCTTCTTGTAATAACCCGAGTTTTTGGTTTTCTTTTCTTTAATTTACTGTATATAGATGGAGAAGGATGTTTCGGTGCGCCAAATGGCCGTGGATCTGTTGTATGCGATGTGCGATCGAGGCAATGCTGAGGAAATCGTGCAAGAAATGCTGAACTACTTGGAGACGGCTGATTACTCCATACGCGAGGAAATGGTGCTAAAAGTAGCAATTTTAGCAGAAAAATACGCCACTGATTACACTTGGTATGAATGTTATGCATTAGCATTAGAAATAATCCGTTTCTGCTATTCGCTTTACATCTAATCAAACATTGTTTTTTTTTTTTGTTTTTAGGTACGTGGATGTCATTCTCAATCTGATTCGTATTGCTGGCGATTATGTTTCAGAGGAAGTCTGGTATCGCGTTATACAAATCGTTATCAATCGAGAGGAAGTACAAGGTTATGCAGCAAAAACTGTATTTGAAGCTT